TTCTTCCAGATACGCGTCACTACCCCTGGTTACCTATATAGTAATATCATCTGAAAAAATGTTTGTTTGAGTCCCGGTATATCTCCTCCAGCCTCGGTGGTATTTTAATTAAGGCGAGGTTAAACAGGAACGGTGACAAAACTGAACCCTGAGGCGTCCCTTTGCCTCCCAACGCGAATGAGTCCGATTTGATATCTCCTATTGAAATTTCTGTGGTTCGGCCCTCCAAGAATGATCTGATGTAGCGGAATGTCCTGACCCCTGAGCCAATTTCCGATAGGTTATTCAATATTGCATCATGCGAAACATTCTCGACAGCTTTATTGAGGTCAAGCCCCAATACAGTTTTGGTTCTCGTGCCATGCCCGGGATCGACTACACCATGTTTCAACTGTATCATGACATCCTGTGTGGACAAATTGGCCCTGAAACCTATCATAGTTGGGGAAAAAATGGCCTTGTCCTCTGCATAATTCTGAAGCCTGTTGAGAACCACGTGCTCCATCAATTTGCCCGCGCATGATGTCAGCGATATAGGGCGCAGGTTTTCCAAGCAAAGTTTCTTGCCAGGCTTAGAATAAATATACTAGCATGCTTCCATTGTGCTGGGATCTCCCCGGCCACCCAATACTCATTTATCAAGTCAGTGATCGCCCCGACCGATTTGAAATCTAGGTTTCTCAGCATTTTATTAGTAACCCCATCCGGACCTGCGGCAGACGTAGTACGCAGCTGCCCCATGTCAAACTCCACCTCCGCAATTGTGAACTCTTCATCTAGTTCTGAGTTTTCCACCCCCGAGTAGTGTGGTAAGCAACCGTCTACTCCATCAGTTATGTACCGATTCCGGAGTTCCTGTATAAACTCTCCAATTATGCCTTCATATTGATGCATTAACCGAGTAATTTGTCCCCTTTGCGCCGATTTTGTTGCTACCCGATCCAAAAGATGCCTTAACAGCTGCCATGTACTGAGGAAGCGTCTCGTTGCCTTCACCGCCGACTCGGGAGAGAGCAGGAGAGAGAGAGAGAGTGAGGTAGCGGACGCGTGAGGGAAGGACGGACACAGCCCCGAGCAAAAGCTGTTTCGCATTTAAAAGTTCAGAGCAAGTGGGATACGAGTGAGCGCCAAAAGTTAAAAAGCGTTTATTTCGACTGAGCAGCAGCGCTATACTGACTGATGACGTAGCTCAAATGTTCATGGAGATGGATTGAAAGTTAATCTATAGTTGGTGACGCGTACTTGAGCATTTCTGAAACAACGCTACGATGACGTGAACGAAAAAAAAAAGGGGGGGGGGAGCACAAACCAGAGCACTGATGAACCCTTGTGTTCTAAAACAATGATGTTAATGCATCTACTCATTTGTCGTCTAGCGTGATTGCTTGTCACCCTTCTTTATTTCACCCGCGTCATCGTTGTGCTGTTTCGAATGTCCAAACGTTATTGTTTCAAAATGTTCAAACGTTATTGAAGGCTGACTGAAGAGTGCTGGCAGGTTACCTGGTTTTACTCGTTGACCATGTATCAAGATCTAGTAAGCAGCAGCAGTAGTAGATAAAGTAATACTAGTTCTTGTTATTGTAGAAAATGCACTGAAGTTAGTAGTATCTCTTGATGTAGTGAACGTAATCGAGCAGCAGTACTAGAAACGCTAGTGTTGGTGTTCGTAGTAGTCCCAGCGGTATATACTATAATAGCAGTATAGTATAGAACCCCGCTGTAACGTTCCCGGGTGATGCGTTTTCATGCCCGCTACGATGTTTTCGGCCGGTCCAGGCAACGCTACCATAGGATCAAATGAATTGGGAACCCCGCTGTTACGTTGCAAGTGTGGGACAATTCACGCGATTTACGTTGTGAACTGGTCCTCAGAGATAGCCCAGGAGGCCGTGTTGACTTTTTGCTTGTCCTGTCTTGGTATACGCTTTGTGGCTTGAGAATCGAATTTTCCACCAGAAGCGGTGAGAGCGACATCTATGAAGCACTTGAAAGTCCCATCATGAGAGACGCGACCTCTGAGATCTGTATAATTTTCATCTAAACACGACTTCTATGGCGCGTCTGGGAGCCAGAAATTGGTTTTGATGCATTCAACAAAAGTACGGACTTCGAGATCAGTTGTCACTTCCTCGACCTTGTACGTCGATCACATGGGGACCGAGTGTGCCGATGCGTACGCCAGTGACGAGGAAGTCAGGCAGGTGGCGGAACAGGTGCCGGAACAGTTGCCGGAGCCAACTGCTTCACTGACCTATAGCGCTGGATTTGTTGCGGCGATCCCTGCTAGAGAATCCTAAATATTTCAGAATGCTATAACACTGCAGGTGCTTGAGAGATGCCTTGTACTGATTACTTCCTGTTTACTTCCCGCCATTGTTCCCAAGAAAGCCGTGCATCAGAGGCAGCTCACTGTGAGAACATGCCATCGCTTAAGTGTCATTTATACATGCACTGCATCATTTCAATCGTGCTCGATCATTCTGGAGGGACTATGGATAATCGTGCGCACGTCCACGTTATCGCAGAGACATTTCCGTCTCGCAGTTGTCCTATTTGTCAAGAAACAAAATGTGGTACTAGAGAAAACCCTTGGCTATCGTTCCAAAATCTTCAGAAGAATGACTTGCTGAGCGAGTTGGTATTCCATTTAGCTGTTGCGAACGGCCTTCCAGCCTACGAAGGATATAGCAGTGGTGATTTATAGACTGTGATCACCCTGGCGCATGAGCTTTTCAGTATGGTCACTCCTATCGTCGGTTTCGCGTAATTATGGTCACGGAACTGTAAAACAGGGACGAAAAAAAAAACTTGTTCTTGACGTCATACCAGTGTCTGAACACAAGGTATTCAGTCATGTAGCTATAAAAGCGCCTTAAAAGGAGCTGTCATATGTGCTAATAGCTTAGCATACGCGGCATAAAATGCTCGTGCTTACGGTATCTGCTCCAACGTGTACAAGACATGTGTGGTAACGTTTTGAAATGATGCAACGTCGTGATTATTAGATCACCAAGGCTCAGTCATATTTCCAGGCACTAAAATTTGTCAAGCACCGCGATGTACTACTTGTTAGGCTATAGTCGGTTGCTGGCTTGTGTGGCATCGGAGACTAACATCATCATCACCAGCAAGAATCGCGGCTCGTCCATCTCGTGACGCGTTTAGCGCTGCGCGGGAGCTCGGGTTCGCCGAAGCTCTGGCTGACTAACAGCATCTCCGTTGTGTCTCTTTTGCAAGAAATCGGAATCAATAGATCATTTCTTTTTATCCTGTAAACGTTATGCTTATCAAAGGAAAAGATACCTGGTCGAACCAATTGAGAAGCTAGGTTTAAAAATAAACGTGGAACTAATTTTATCCTTCGGAGGGATTACATTAGGTTATAGCCACAGGGAGGTTTTCTCTGCTGTGTGCGAGTACATAAGGGCAACAAAGAGACTACCCTGTTAGCATATTATTATTTACGGCTACGAGACTACCTGAATGCCTGACTGAACACACTTGATGATCCTGCCGCCCGGTTCTTGGCCGATCCCCCTTTGTGGGCGAGTGCCAGCAAAGCCGAAGGTTCATCATCATCATTATCTGGCTGACCTGGAATAAATGACGTGCCACCTATGTTCTGTTCAGTGAGTGTCGTGCATTTTAACGGCGTTCGTCTGAGTGTCTACTCTTGCTTTGTCCCGTCGCTATAAGCGCCGTTCTTACCACGTTTTAACGCAATTCACGTGTCGGGCATCTCGGAGTTCGGTGTTTTTGATAGATTGATATGTAGGGATTAACGTCCCAAAACAACGATATGATTAGAGACGCCGAATTGAAGGGCTCCGGAAACTTGGACAGTTTAACGTGCACCCAAATCTGGGCACACGGGCCTACAGCATTTTCGCCTCCATAAAAAAAATGCAGCAGCCGCAGCTGGGATTTGAGCCCGCGACCTGCGGGTAAGTACTGCAGCTATATTTATATTACTGAGAGAGATGCCGTATAGTCGACGGCTCTGGAAATCTCAACCGTCTGCACTTTTCTAATAGGAATCGACATCATACAACACACGCCCCTAAGTCTACCATACCGCCTCCACAAAAATGCGAAAGTACCTTAGCCATTAACTACCGCGGTGGGGTGGGCTCTATGTTTTTGCTCATAGGAAAAGTGACCTGCATATGCATGCATGCGTGTTGGCAGGGGAGTGCAGAGGAGGCACAATACCTCCCATACCACACTATAGTAATACCTCGGGTATTACATACAAAAACGACGATATAAATATGCGAGACGCCGTATAGTGGAGAGCTCCGGAAAATTTGACCACGTGGTAATATTTAACGAGCACTGAAAGCGCACAGTACACGGGCCTCTACCATTTCGGCTCGTGCCACGGTGGGGATCCAACCCGCGACCATCAGGTCAGCAGCTGGGCATCATGACCACTGTTCCACCTATGCGGACCCCCATGCCGCACTAGCGACACCCCATCAAGCCACACCAGCACTCCCATCCCACGTTCTCCAGCAGCCGCTGCGATACGAATTTGACCCAGCCCAAAGGCGAAATCTGGTGACGCCTGTTTGAAAAAATGAGGGCTTTGTACCAGTTTATATAGGCTGTCTCACAGATGGGTTTCGATGCGGCCATATTGGGCAGTCAACCTTGCGATTTTGTACCCTTTCAACGATTACACGAACAGTGCTGCGGTGGACGTGTAGGCATAAATATGATTGGCTTGGTGCGCTTAATGGCCTCATTATTTCAATTAAGATATACGTCTTCTTGTTCCAGTGCAAGACTTCTATCGCAGTTGTCTCGCCTAGCTTAGTGTGAACCAAGGGACTGCTGTCAGCTCTCCCATAGTAGACTACCGAGTACTCTAAATCGCTAACCGCTTTCTCTTCACACACAATAAGAAACCATTTGTTTATACAGTCCAAGGGGGCGGCGTTTATATGTCTTACGTAAAATCGCCTGTACTCTAGGCAAAAAAAAAAAAGCATTACCTGACAATTCCGGTAGCTGCTTTGCGGTGCGACATCTCGTTCTTTAGTCACAACACTCGACTTCCTTCACAATTCTAGAAGTCAAACACTCGCCAAGTCGCTTTTCGCGCAGCGGCCGGCTGTTTTTTTGACTCGGGGATGGCCGAGGACGAATGTCCAACATTCACTCCAGGATATAAATCGCCCCATTTTCCACAACCACCCGCAGTGCTCACTTCCCGAACAATAAAAAAAAAAAAGAGAAACAGCGCTTGTATCAAATCCGGCTCGTATAGTAGTTTTAGCCACGTGGCGTGAAACGCCCCTCCATTTGCTCTCGGCGCGCAACGTGACAGTTTTGACAGAGATGCGTAAATATTTGCGTGCAGACGAACTGGCGTGTCTCGATTGAACAAGTCGCAACGAACGCGATACGATGATTTTTAAAGCAACAGGTCAAGCTGTGCAACTGAAGGCCGAGTGAGGGACACGGACACTTACTCCTCCGATGGCGTGCCACGTGACCAGTTTCACTGCTTGATATGTGTGCCTTCCAATAAATTCAAGTTTAGTCGCAAGTTCAACGTCTCTAGTCTCTTCTTCAGTACTTGTCTCTTCTTTTTTGCGTGGTTTTTTTTTTTTACATCCCAAGGATGTCACGTTGACTGACGAAACATGATGGTTAATTTTTTTTTGAATTCTTGGGGTTTTAGCACGCACAAAGTAATCACCCGATTACGTAATCATATGACGCCTTCTCAACGATACATAGCGCCACATTTTTTTTTTTTTCACATCATGACGTCCGATAGAGCGACGTTACACGGTCGAAGGTGCAGCGATCACGGAACCACGGCGAAACCACATTAGAGGCAGAAAGTTTTCGAATGGGTGACTGGAGAGAATAAGTATACACCGATAAAGAAGAAAAAGAACAAGATGACGGTTTTTAGCGGATGGAAAAATCACGGCTTATCGACGGAGTGAATGATGATTGGGGTGAAGCCTCGAAGGGTTTTGTCGGCAAACCGTAAATCATTCGCTGGCCGCGTCCGCCCGTCCGTTCATCCTTCGATCCGTCCGTCCATCTGTCCATCAAGTGAACACTCCAAGTGCCGTCATCTCGCATCTTTTCGTCATATATTCAGCATATACAAGTACCGCCGTCCAGCGGACATTCCAAGGACTAAAAGGAAAGGTGACGACTACATATAGGAGACGCACGACCCACGCCTTAAGAAACTTCACCTCTAAAAAAAAAAAAAAGAGGTGGGGGGGGGGGGGGGTCTATTGTGCCTTCACGTTTATAGAAAAATGGACTGTAAAATAATATCTTAGTAAAAAATCAGCCCTAGAATACGCCGGCTTATTATAAACCACGTTAACCGTTGGCGACTGTCATTTTAACGCGATATCATTAAAGATACTCGTTCCGGAGAAATTCCGGTGTCGTTGGTTGTGAGCGAAAAATCACCGCCTTATCCGTGACCAAAAAAATTGAGAACGATGCAAATAAGAGAAATGATATCAAATATCCTATGTCACAGCGGGGATCGAACCCGGGTCATTTGCGTGGCAAGTGGACGTTCTACCACAGCGCCACGTGTCTGCTTTTTTTTTTATCTATGGCAAATAGTGTCCCGATTCTTTTTCGAGACAATTGCCATCTTGTAATTCGTTCCTTCTTGCAGGTTACACTTGTTGATTGTTTAGCAGATTGAATTGTTTCATCCAACTTCTCCGAACGCCCATGCTTGTGGGGATTCATGCAGGAAGTTTACCCCGCAGTTCAGTTCCTTAAAGCTCGCTTTTCTGTAGAATACCTGTACACAGTATCGCGCAAGGTGCTGTATAAGGTCCTGCTGAGTACACTCTTCCCACCTCCATTGTACCGTTCACTGTACTCCAATCTTCCAGGCCACGATGTGTTGAAGCGAGTGTGCAAAATGTACATTCCACCGAATTCAAAAACATTCTTCTATAAACTCCACTCTGAAACATTGGCGGTAAACACATGGTTAGAAAGAAAAGGTATTTTCGTTCCGTCTGTTAACTGCCGTCTATGTGATGTGCCGGAAACGATTGAACATTGCTTTGTTAGCCGCAAAGATGCCATACTGTTTTGAAATGTCCTTCAGCAAGCACTGAAAAAACGTTTCGTCATTAATTCTCACACAATACGTTATCTTCTGCCAGCAGCGCTTGATGAAGTACCATATGATATGTTTTCCCTCATGGGTATGCACAGCTTGTGGAAGGCACGAATGCAAGACCGCAATGCAGAGCACACCACCTCTTCATGCGCACACTTCATTCAAATGGCTATCCACCTAAAAAACATTTACGACGAGCTAGACTTTAGACCGGACTGGTACTCCGTCTTAGAGAACTGTTTGACCTCACCCCTTTTTTGTTTGTATAACACGATATGAAGAACTCTTCATGTGAGGAACTCACGCTGTGTTAGCCATCTAGTGTTTGTGAGTAACGCTTGAGCGCTTACTTTGGCGATTTGATTGTACTTTTGTTCGCTTGATTTTGTCTTTATTGCGCAAGTACTTTATTTATTACCATGAAAAAAAAGCGCCACGTGTCTGTGTGTGAATACACAGGAAATAACCTCTGCTTGCAAATGCAGTGAAAGTAACTCTTGCTTTTTCAAACACACGCGTCCTGTATACGTGCTTCGCAATACAACATTAAATGTTGCAGAAACAACGCTTGGTACAAGCGCCCATTGCCAGCGGGCGTCAGAAAACGTGGTTATCATAATGACTTCATGGTTTAATGCCAGCCACCCACTACAAAAGGTACACCCGCTTCTGCGCGTGCTCCTTTAAGGCCACGTAGTGGGTGCATGGCGAGTTCGAAGAGATTTGATACACTAAGTGTTTGAAGTATGCACTAAAACCGGGACATCGTTATCACATTGAATTCTTAAAGGCGCAGCTTTAGAGTCCCCTGATTTTTTTTTTTTTTGCCTTGGCATGTTGTGATGTGGCATGCGCAGCAGGGAGCCCAGCCTTCGTCTTCTACTAAAGTTTCAGCACACACACAGCAGTGCAGGACACCACACACACACACACACACACACACACACACACCAGTGAGATATTTGTACTTATTTTCACTTTATGCGTTGTCAATTTACGTTTTTGCACGCGAGAGAAAGTCAGGCCTACTGCGTGCACCGCAAACGTTAAGTGACGTTTACGTTAGTACATGCAACGCCGATAGAGCGCGACCATAAATTTCCACAGCGGCGGAAAGTTGTGGTCCTTTCTTTCATCATTTCTTTTCTTCTTCCCTTTCTTCCCCTTTTCCCTCTTTCCTTTCCCCTCTTCTCTTTCTTCCCTTCTTCCCTTTTCCTTCCTTCCCTCTTCCCATTTTCCTTCCTTCCTTCTTCGCACAGCAGTACGGCACCTGGACCAAACCGGCTACTAATATCGTGTGAAGGAGCATGTAAACAATCTCCGCCCCCGTAGCTTTTTTTATAATTGCAGGGAGGTTGTCCACGATTATAGAAGGTGCCACATCGAACAGGTGACCAGAGCGGGCAGCACTATACAACCCATGTTTGAAGGAAGGCGTGGCGGCTATTGATTGATATGTGGGGTTTAACGTCCCAAAACCACCATATGATTATGAGAGACGCCGTAGTGGAGGGCTGCGGAAATTTCGACCACCTGGGGTTCTTTAACGTGCACCCAAATCTGAGCAGACGGGCCTACAACATTTCCGCCTCCATCGGAAATGTAGCCGCCGCAGCCGGGGTGACGGCTATCACGTCGAGGGAGCTGTTTGAGTACAGAGCAAGGCCCGTGTCATGCACAGAAAACTCTGCGGGTATGCGTCACATAAAGCGGTTGTGTGCCTAGCCGCCCCTAGCTTAGCACAGCCGTGCAAGAACGGTATAGGAAATGGGGGAAAGTATTTGAGAACCATGAGGATTTGAAGTAGGAGGGGAGAGAGTAAAACACGGCATAGCCTTGTTAGTATACCTTAGCAAGAAGGAAGGAGGGGGCGGTGAGGTAAGGAGGACTGATGTTACGGTTAGGAGGGAGTGAAAGGGTAAGCCGTTGCATGACCGCGATAGTATTGCGTAACAAGCAACGGGACAGAGAAACGAGGGTCAGAAGGAGTGATGTGAGGGCAAAGAGGATGGAAATATAGAGGGCATAGATAGAGATAAATAAAAATATAAAGATGAAAGAACGAAAGAAAGAAGATGTAGGAATAGAAAAAGAAAGAAGCACGAAACAAAGTGTAAAAAAAGAAGAACAGCGAACTGGATCTGCATTCGCCAGATGGCGGCACTTGCATGCCAGCTCCACTTTTTACTCGGATTTAACGGGCGTGGAACTTGCTTTAATTTTGCTTATGTTTTCGCAATGCAAAGTTAGCTTTGTGTCTCAATCGGGTGCTTGCTGGAATCGTGAAAATAGGGTAACTGACTTTGTTATGACAGAGTACACTGGCAGAGAACGACAAGATTGGGGTATGTTGGCGAGAGATAAAGGCAGAGAGGGAGGCTCTCGGTTGAAGGTCATTCGAGGCCCGCAGGGCCTAATCTTTCACAAAAGAAATGGAGTGGGTGAAGCCACAGATGTATGACGAAGTCCATATATAGAAGCCACGCGGCGTTTCATGAAGTTTTCGGGAATGCTTCGCGGATCCGCCATGCTTTCACAATCGCCCCTGTAGCTGCTGATATTGAACTCGATATCAGCCGGCTTCGTTTCCAAACTTCGGAATAAGCTGAATTTCAATAAAGGTGGGAATACAAAAGCGTTGGTGTACTGAGATTCACAAGGCGTCTTAATAGAATTTAAGGAGGCTCAAGTTAACCCGAAGCAACTCCTTTATACAACGCGCCTCATAGCTCATGCAAGGAGCCGTGCCGTTTTTAGATGCTAAAGTCCCTATACGACCCAATCCTGGGTTTAACTCCATTGTGCTGTCACAATGGAGTCAGACGATTCATATTCGCCCAGCGGTTAATTTGCATTCGTTCGCAGAGTGTTCCCATTGGGGAAGACTGGAGACACGGGTTTAAAAGAAATAAATAAAAAGGCGCCCTATCTCATTGGCACGTGTGTGCA